TTCCCAATTTCTAACATTTGCCCTTTTCCCCAGACCACATCGTAATCGGCGGTGGGCCCCTAATAACAAAGCAACATATATATGTCGTATGTATAAATATCAAATTCACAATATATGATTTATGCTTGCTTTGCTGCAGCAAATGGTGATGAAAATTACAAATTGTTTTCATATGTTTGGCGGGCCTCCTATCGATCTGTCTCTGTCTCTTTCTGTCCCTCACCCTTCATTTCAATTTTCATTTCGTTACAGCTAAGGTTTTGACAGGACATCAATAAATAGAAGGATGATTGTTTATGTGTTCATCATAAATGGTGGCTTATTTAGGGCAAAATATATATTGATATAAGATATCATACCAATATATTAGGTCATATTCGATCTAAGAATAGTTCGATCGAATCGAACTATAACAGAAATGTGTTCAGAAAGCCAAAGGCTATAACATTGAAATTACCACGAACAAATCACCAGAAAGCCAAACACTATAACAGAAATACCANAAAAAAAAAAAAAAAAAAGATCCTCAACTTCTACCATTAAAAGGAGATGCTTTTAAGTTTTTGATTTTCCCCTAAAATCATTCGTGCGCCACACATAACACGCAATCCTTCATACACCACCACTCCAAGCACGATATCAAAATCGAGGTCTATATAATCAAATCCATGGGATTTCTTCAAATAAGCGCATACTTGGGAATTTCACCTTTCCTCAAAACATATTCCCCAGTGTCGATAAGCGGTCTTGTATGTTGTGAACTGACCTCTCCTCAGAAGCCAACATGAAAATAGCCCGAGCCTCGGCTTTCTTGGCCAGCCTTGCCGCCAGGTTGAGAGGCACGTTGGGCGAATTAAGGGTCCTTAGTATCTAGCGGTATAAACTCAGGACCTTGCTTCTGTTTCTGGCCATGTCCTCTGCACTGACCCAAATCAAGCCTTTTGCCATTGCTCGACTTTCCCTGTTGCAAATATGAATGCGCAATTTTTCATGACTTTATTTTTTTAGAATACCCAAAGAGTAGTGTCCAGTCACAGGCATTTCATAAAGCAATTGGCTAAATGCAGCATATGAATTTGTACCCATCAACTATATATATAAATGAACAAACAAGTTACTGCATCTGAGACATGTTGACAATCTTTTGCAATTGAGTTCTATTTTTCTCCTTCTTTTTCCAGATTGATACGCATTTGGAAATATATATCATTTCAAGTGAGTTTTGCTCCAATACAATGTCAAGACGCACATCTAAAACTCTTATGTAAATTTATAATAGAGACGAGTATGTTCAAAGGATGAAAACCACTCCCAAGAGGAACATCCCTGATGAAAAACTTAGTAGTCACCTATGCGCAGTCATGTATATAATAATGAATATAATTTTTAGATAATGGGTGAACGATGCACCCGTTTAGATAAAGGGTGAACAATGCACCTTCAATGCCAGTCAGCCCTAATGCTGACTCAATTGTCTGGGTTAGGCGAACTTTCCTTAGGCTGCTAATTTCAATCCCAACCAAGCCCGGTCTCTGTTCATCACACCAGATTGACCTTCATTTAAAATCACTAAATGATACTTATACGCCAACAGGGAGTTGGCAACAACCACAATGACTCAATGAAGGCTAATTGTTTTCTTCAACGACAATAAGGAAATGCCGTTTAACTTAAAATAATACAACAAAAACAACCAAACATTTAATGCTATCAAAACAAATGCCCTCGGTCTCAAATACTCCTTAAATTTTAATTTTTACAACGCCTTAGTAAAACCGTGACATACAGATAAGTCCAAACAATAAAGACAAATAAACTACTTAATCCTAAAAGTCTCAGCCACCAGTGAGTCGTCATCAAGAATCAAGAACCAGTTGAATCTTCCACGAATAGCTGATGCTTATTCAGTTTCTAATTCTACATAACTGAGAAATAAAGCTCAAAACTGAGAAATCACAATATGGGAAGTGTAAATCTTCAGACAATTCTACTCAGCCATCAATTTTGCACAAAAAATAATTATTACAAGCTATTGAGGAGAGAAAACAGCTAAACCACTACAATGTTAACCCAACATGTATGTTATCATCTAAACAATTACATAGGCACCTCAGGTAAAATCCTCTCTGGCAGAAGTGCACTTCAACATGTGGCTACTCATAAGGTAAATACAAAGCAGAAGCCTACATGAGGTACACTATCAATTTTTACAAGATAAGATGGTTTCTTTTTCAGTTTCAACTTCCCAAGACAGAAATCCCATAAAATGATCCAAAAAGGCAAAACCCAATCGCGGTCAAGGCACAAAACGAAGCATTTTTCAGAACATGACATAAAAATATCGCAATACAAACCAACGCAAACCTCCACAGACTGAAGTTACATCCTAGGAATCTCAAATAGGCCATACTTCAAACACAAAAACGAACAAAATAACCCATTAATAAACCCGTGGAACAACACAGAGCCTCTGTAAACAATTTTCGCACAAGATTAACAAATAATAATAATAATAACTGAAATTTTCAAAGAGTAACTTTACCTAACCTGCTCGCCGGATTACGGCGGCGTGGGCGGCGCCGGTGGCGGGAAAATGAACGCTAGAGTAGTAGGAATAGGATAGAGCTTTGTTGAGGGTGGGGCGGGTGGACTCTGAGTATGAACTTCGAATCGTCCGTTGGGAACTTTCTCGCTTACTTATTTTGGGGCTGGACCGGTCCGTTCTTATCATTTTTTTTCTAAGAACCGGAATTGGAACCGACGCAGATGCAATTTTGTAGACTGCAGAAACCGAAAAATGAACGGTTCTGTTCATAAGTTCTTCGGTTAACCTAACAATGAGGGAAAATAGAATAGGGGATGCTTGGATATAATTTTTTTGATTTTGATTGGATTTTTTGATTTGGTTAAATTTGAAAAATATGGTATGTAATGCGTATTGTAAAATGAGACGAGAGGCCCCTTGCGACGTCGTTGAAGCTTGCCCATCCACTCGCGAGTGTCGTCCATGACTCCTCGAGGAAGTCCCACATGCCCACGCAATGCCTGTTGCCCGTCGCCCAAGTCCCCAACACACGGGTCGCCCGTCTGTCGCCTACCAGAGTTCCCTCGCATCACTCGTGACCCGAGTAATTTTCCCAGTACACCACGAGATTTTTCTGCCAAACCATATATAAAACTAACGACAGCGCGAGCGTTGCCGAGAGAAGCTTCACCCATTTCCCGCGGGCCAGCGCACCAACCAGTGACCTTGCAAGTGTACCCTTTGTCAAGGCTTGCCAACTGGCGAACCAGGACATTTTAGCTACATCGCGAGTGTTGTTTAGTAAATATATGTATTTTTAGTGTGTTTTTGTGGTGTGACTATTAATAGACTTGATCTTTTGTATTTTTGAAAACCAAACATTCATTTCCCAACTTTCTAGTTGGGAATTAGCTCTTTTTCTTTTCTTCTTTCTACCCTCTCTTGTTTATGTTTGGAGTTTCAAAACTTGAATTTTCAAGCGATGTTGTTTTTATTAAAGTTTTGAGCTTTTCGCGTTTATTTCATGCGGATACGCAATAGGAAGGTAAGTACATAGTTTTGGACTTATTATTTCGAAGTTGCTTTATTTTTGGTTAGTACGTGTTTGAGGTAAAAATGGCGTCTTGGTAAGAATTCATGTGAATTGACACAAGTTTCGTTAAAGTCCTTATCTTTTATTTTACTTTGTTTATCTAGTGTGATTAGTTGGTTAAATGTCGAATCTTTCAAGGTCAAAATGAAAACTTTGTTGAAATATTAGTTATTTCGTATTGAATGTTTGACTCTAGCCTCTTGTTCCGTTAGATTTAGTTTGTTTCTCTTTGTTTTTGTCTTTTCTCGAGTTTTGAAGATTCCGACTTAGGTAAAGTTTAAATCTTTGGTTAAAGCTTGCATCCTTAGAAAATCGCTTTTAAATTCTTTGCTAAAATTAGCTTAAAATCAACCATCTAAACTTTATCAGAATGTTTAGGACCTTTGTTTTTCGTTTTTGTACTTCAGCGACTAGTTAGGTGAACGAAACTTTGAGTAGTCTTCATTGAGAGACGACTCAAGGTTCTCAATTACTAGGTTATCAATCAATTTCCCAAATCTATACTCTACACGACTAGCTCCACTTTTTACCATGGATTGAGCTGGTGTTGGGCGATCCTTTACTTTTTGCTTTGCCTTTCGGGACAGAGGTGGTTCTAGTGACATTGTGGCCTTCCAGCTCACCCCAATCTTTTCGAGCTTAAGTTATGGTCGGTGACATTGGTTCTTCCTAGTAGGCTAGTCAGAGTGGTTTTCCGTTTTCTAGCCTTTCTCCAGGCTAGAAGATTTTTGAGGGCTCATATTAAGGCTTAAGTTCCGTCTCCTTTCAAGATTTGGTTAGCCTTTTGAGTCTAGTCTGGAGTTCTCAAATATCGAGGCTCAAGATTTATAGTCCTCTATGCGTACTTTGGTCTGGAGACTAGTCCATGTGATAGACTATGGTACAATAGTGGATGGCTCACGAGAAGAGGGGAGATTGTATTCTATTTTTGTGATAGGTTTGTATTGTATTAATGTTTTGTGATATTAGTCTCAATTGTTTATGAGTTATTATTTTTTGTTGATAGTATGTGTAATCTAAGGGAATGTGGATCCGATCATAGATTGACTTTAAGTTATTCAAAAAATATGTATGCTTCATTAAAAAGAGGATTGAAGCTATTTTTTCGCCTCTGATTTGATGTTTTCCTTTGTTTTCTAGGTTATGGGGCTGGGCGTGGCTTGTGTGTTGTTTAGTGTGGCCGTAGCGGTGTGCTCGTGAGTTGTAGATGNCAAGTGTTGTATCTCCTTGATTGTTGGTCTAATTTCAATAGGGGCTGACAACCTTTGTTCTGGCTTTTAAGGTGTCATTTGACATTTCGAGTGTATTCTTTTTGAGTTATTAATATAATTGTCGTTTAGGATAACTCATTAAAATAATAGTTAATAAAACAATTTTATAAAACACATTCTACTACAATAAAAGGCAATAATTGCACACCTGTACTTGGGGTGGGGAGATGGGCACCATCATATTAATTCACCACCTAATATTAATTTTCATCATATTGTCCCTTTTAACATGACTGCGTTATATAAGATTAAACAATGATTAGTTGAAGTTTTAACTAATCCGTTTTTAATAATTCCAACTCATTGTGCATATATAATTATGAAAACGAAGTTACGAACTAGTGACAGAGAGCCTCCGAGATTTCACGTCCTTGTAACATTTTGCGTCAAATCTTGAAAAATAGTGTATTGTTTCCACTAGACGTGACCCTTTAATTAACTAGTGTTAGATTGATTTTGTGAATATTTTATTTTTGGTATAGATAGATTTCAGTATCTTAGAGATTTAGTGTATATTGGTTTTAGGACTTCCTTTGTATCTTTATATATTCGGCTCTTGGGAATCTCAGGAAACAAGGTTTTTGGGGAAACGAATTGGTGTTCACATATTTTGTCATGGTATCAGAGCTCGGTTAATTTTTTTTTTAGATCTCGAGTCTCGATCAACTGAGACTTAATTTTTTTTTTCTTTTTTGGCTGTTCTCCCTCATTTTTTCTTTCTTTCGGATCTCAAGTCTCCTTTTGTTCGTTTTTTTAGTTGTGCGTGAGTAGCTTGTTGTTTAAAAAAAAAAGAAAAACAAATTGCTTGGCTTGCGTGCTGTTTGCGCAGTAGAAAAAAAAAACAAAAAAAAATATTTTGTTTGAATC